AATCCTTATTTAAATTTCTTAAGTGCATGATGTCAAAAAATTTAGGACTATTTTGACGTTAAAAGACAAAAATACAAATGTGCTATTATTATTTTATTTTAACAGTTTAGATGGTTTCAATACATAATATTAAACTTTTTTGAATGATTGAACTTGGTTTTCGTAGTTAATATATGTGAAAAAGTTACTGTTTACCTCTATTTAGGATTTTTTAGGCTGTTAAAAGGTAAAAATACAAATTTACTATTATTGTTCTATTTTAACAGTTTGGATAGCTTCAATATATGATATTAAACTTTTTCGAATGATTAAACTTAGTTTTCGTAGTTGATATATGTGAAAAAGTTGTTGCTTACCTCTGTTAAGGACTTTTTTGCTGTTAAAAGTCAAAAATAAAAAGTCGTTATTATTGTTCTATTTTAACAGTTTAGATAGCTTTAATACATGATATTAAACTTGTCCAAATGATTGAATTTGGTTTCTATGATTGATATTTGTGAAAGGCCAAAATGCTTTTATTATTTACGTTTGTTTAAGACTTTTATGCTGTTAAAGGTAAAAATATAATTTTACAGTTATATTTCTATTTAACAATTTAGATAGCTTAAATATATGATATTAAACTTATTCAAATTTTTGAATTTGATTGACAGGCTTGATATGCATGAATAAGTTATGGTTGACATATATTTAACAATAATATATGTTTTTATGTAGGAGATTAAAATGGTTTAAAAAATTAGACATGTGAAACTTTTTCAATTAACCCATACAAAAAAAGATAGATCTTACCTAAATGTTAAAATACAAGAAATTATGGTAATTTGTTACATTTGTTTTATATATAAAGTAAATATTTACTATTTTAAACATATTATGAATTAATCATTAAACTTGATAGTTTTTAACTTATTAATTTACAAGAGAAAGCGAAAGAGAATAGCTGCTAAGATTTAAATAGCATTTGATGGTTTTGTCAACATGTAAGAATTGAAAAATCAAATTTTCATAGAAATTACTGAAAAAGAAAAACATGGATGGGTCCGAGGCCTTGGATTGGGTCCAACGCCATCTAGTTACTATATATGCAACTTTTAGCAATTTATATTCATAGCAAGTCAATCTTCGCGAGGCATTTTCATGTTAAGAGAGGAGTTATAAACCATGCACAACGTTTCTAGCAAATAGAAGCAGAAAGAGAACATAAGCGTGCTAAGATTAAAGAAGAACGTGCTAGAATGGACCAAGAGCATGTAAAATTTTAGCAATTACATGATAGATTTGATACTTTTATGAATTTTTTGTAACAATTTTCAAGAACTAATCTAGGTGATCCATCAACTTAGGTATTATATTTAGTAATTATTTATATTTTTTATTATAAAAAATAGCTTATATTAAGTGTTAAAACTTGTATGATATTATTTAGTAAGTTATTATTTAGTAAGTTATTGAGCACACTAGTGTCTAAGGTGAAAAAAATCCTTTATCAACTGGCAACATTCTAAATCTATGTAGTCATCAATTTCATACATATTAAAATTTTTTATTAATGTACTAAAATAATTTGAATGTTATTGCATGTATTATTAAACTTTGTGTTACATGCATATTTGAATAAATTATGTATTTATAATATTCAGTTTATGAATTTAAGTTCGTTTCTATTTCTTTTAACATTTTTATTTAATGATAACAATAAATATAAAAAATTTTAAAAAAAGTAAATTTTTTAATTTCATGGCATTTGTGTTCAAAAATGTTGCTAAATTCAAAATTCAGTGGTGTTTGTAGCATAAAATGCTACTAAATTTAATAGCGTTTTTTCTATACAAATGTCACTAAATTAATAGTATTTTTCTATACAAATGTTGCTAATTTATTGGTATTTTTTTGATACAAACGTCATTAATTTAGCAAAGATTGTCTTTACAAACACTGCTAAATAAAGCGACATTTTATGATAAAACGCCTTTAAATTAACGATGTTTTTCTTATACAAATGCTATTAAATTAGTAATGCTTTTATAATACAAACATCACTAAATTAACGGCATTTTTATGATACGAACGCCACTAAATTAACGACGATTGTGCTTACAAACATATAAACGCAGCTAAATTAGTGACATTTCTCATATATTATCGTTATTTTCTCCAATGTGAGTATTAGCCAATGCTTTTAATGGCTTTTTTGGCAAACGTCGTAAATATTTTAGTGGTGTTTATAAATGCCACTAAACCTTAAAAAAAAATGTCACTAAAGATCTAAACTCCTATAATGAAGTAAAATGCAAGAAAGTAAAAGCATTCAATGAGACAAACTCTTGGAGCCTTATGATGTTTCCATTAAAATAGCATCAAAGGCTATCCTTCTTAATCTCCAAAAAGGGTCCAAATATCAAGCAAAACTTGCTTGAAAAATAAAAGAAATTAAATATAGAAACTGGTAGAACATAAAAAAGAGAACTTGCGTAAACAAAATAAAAAAGCACTTTGAATATGTTTACAACTTGAAGGAAATTTAAACAAGCAAATGGACAACTGAAAACCACAATGAAAAGAGCTAGGAAAAAACTAAAAAGAAAAAAAAATGAAGCCTTTAAGGAGGGGCTGGTCAACCAGCAATGTTGCTGCCATCAGATCCCAATAGGTATCCTAATTTAAGAGAAGATAAACATGAAAAGGGAAAAACTCCATGGCTAGCTCTCTCTCTCTTTTTTTATAGCCAAAATCTAGGACATCTTATGACATCATCACCATTTAAAATACACCATCCCAGCCTTCCATTCAATCATCACAATGAAGGTAATTTCTAGGTTGTTTTGAAAGCTGCCAGGCATGACTACATAAGTTGGAATTTCTAGCTTAGCTCCATCTTATGTGATGCTTGATTGGTTGGTCTAATGATGGTTTTTCACGCCTCCACTTAGGTCACATGTTGGCAACTTGGTCCGTTCTCAAAATGTCAAAGAAAATAACTAAAATTGAGCCATAAAACTTAAGGCAAATTCAACAAGTCTACTGCCTTACCAATGATGTGAAATAAAACATAAAAGAAGAAAAACACTACAAAAAAATCATATGTTTAGTTACCCTTTTCCTCTCTTTAAAATGTCCTTTTTAATGCTCTATTCTAGGTCCCTTCTTAGCCCATCAAGTTTCTTCTTGAGCTATGCAAACCAACAACAATGTTTTTTTTTTATTGTCTTCCCTCTTTTATCTTTACTTGCAATTAGTTCCTTCCTTTCATGCATTTATTATTGATTCTTTTCGTCTAATTTTCAAATTGTTTCATGGCTTGTTGGTTGTTGCTTTTTTCTATATTTAGCTTAAAACTTAACTTGAAGTTCATCCAAGTAGGCTTATGCAATAACTTTATAAAAGTAGCTCTTTCTCATGCACACACACACCTTTCAACTAGGACATTTTGTTGGCTTGAATTGGCTTTGCTTTTCGGTGGCTCATTAACCCTTTCATCGTTCAAGTAAGACCTAGACTATAGCTTAAATTTGGCTCAATTAATAACCTCGAAAGCTTGCAAAAACCAGCCACTCACAACCCACAAAGTGACACCTAATAGCCTTCATTTATACCTTGAATTTCCAACTAGCTTTTGCATCGAGTTTGCTTCCAAATTTAACTCATTAAATCAGTCATTTAAACTTGAAGTTAACACTTCAAACACAGCACCAATTTAGCTCAAAACTAGCCTTGAACTCAAGCCAAACATCATTGTAAATAACTTTGAAAATCAGTTTCAATTCCATTCAATGTTGACGCCATTTGCATGTAGCTTCTACGGTCCATTTTCAAGCTAATTTTAACTTTCCAACATAAGAGAATAAGGTGTGGGCATGATACTCTGATTTTACCTACTTATGAAACTTAGAAAAGTTAGCAAAGTAATTAAGCAAAAATTGATCAAGTAACATTATATATCCTAATTCTTGGAGACTTCTTGGAGAATAAAAACTCTTGTAAAGAAAATTTTGACTTTTTAGTTTTGTGTTGCTGCCCCTATCAACACCGTTTTATAATCTCTTGCAAATCTTACCTTAAATAGAAATAAGTGAAATCCAAGATAAGCTAAGAATTCCTAAATCAAAGTGAAAATTTCAAAATCAATGTAGGATTTCCTAATTGATTAGGAAAACCAAAGGTTGCTTAGACATTTTTAAATTGCACAAATTTTTATTCCTTGCCAAATCATCATGTCACATTAGCATCCAAGTCTACTTATTGGCCAATGAAAAAAGACTTGATGCCATGTCATCCAATACTAATCCCATATAAGTGCACCTGTATAGAAAACCATGGACTTGCATTCAAATTTGAAATTTGAAATCTATCTTTTATAATGGCTGAACACTTTTTACATGATTCTTGCATGAATTTTTATCATTTTTCATTCAACCATTTTTAATCCTTAAGGTAAGGCAAAGCAAATTTTGAACAATTTCATCACTTCAATTCTAAGATTTTTTTAAAATTTCAAGAATCAACAAAAGCATACCAAGAACCATCCAAGATTACTCTAAATATATCAAAAACATATAAAGATTGATAAAGAACTCTCATGATTCTTCAAGATTCACAAGATTCAATCTTTTTTTTTTTTTTAAGATTTCCTATAAAACAGCAAATTAAATACATTAAGAGTAAAAAAAATCATTATTTCATCAAAATCTAAGCAAGAATCACTGGTCAAGTATTGAAAGTAACTTTATTTTATAAAGTTATCACTTGATATCATAACTTGTTCAAATTTCCATTTATGATTTAGGTTTCAATTTGATTCTTCTCGTTGGTTTCCTAACCATATTTTAAAAAAGGTTTTCTAAATTTAAAAAAAAAAATCATGATCGCTGGGAAAGGAAAATTTAGAGGGGGTTTCTAAATCCTAACAACAAACAAAATATCAAAGGAAACACCTCATAAGCCGAGGTCAGAGCCTCACCCAATTGATCACATTCAACCTCACCAAAACAATCATACAAACACAATTAAAAACAAAGGCTCAACAATCATGGGCTCACGGCCCACATACACACTTAACCACCCATTATTGCGGCCCTAAAAAATTTAAAGCTCTAAGCCCTCCTAAACCCTCCCTTGAACCCTAATCTAATAAATCATTCTCGTCTCACAGTTTTCTGAATCGACCCCCTCAAATCAAGAGAGCTTCCATTTTCTTCTGTGCACCGATGAAGCATCTTATTGGATCAAATCCATGGACCAATTCTGGCATTTCTAGGGTTTTGAGAGTTCTCTCCTACTCCACTAAGACCCTGAGCCCCAATACCTCCCCTTCAAAAGCACGCGACTCTCTGCACATTCGCGCCTCTCGAACCGGAGATCCTAAAGCCTCCATCGTCCCAGTACTCAACCAATGGCTCGAAGAAGGCAAACCCATCAAGCAATCGATGCTTCAAACTCTTATCCGTCAACTTCGAAGTTTCCGACGCTTCAAGCATGCCCTCGAGGTACATTAATTCTTAAATAACAAGCAATATGAAACTTTTTTTTTTTAACTTATACCAAGTATTGTAGGATTGCCCCATTTCATATGACCTCTGATTCTTCATAAATAATACTACGGCAGGTATCAGAGTATATGAGTGAAGAAATGAACTATGATATTTCAACTGGGGACATGGCTGTAAGGCTGGATTTAATCTCAAAAGTGCACGGCGTGGCTCAAGCTGAGAAATACTTGGATAGTATTCCTGTCACAATGAGAACTTTCCAGGTATATGGTGCCCTTTTAAATTGCTATGCACACCACAAGTGTTTAGAAAAAGCAGAGGCCACCATGCACAATATGAGGGAATCTGGGTTTCCAATTAATGTAGTCTCCTACAATGTAATGTTAAATCTCTACCGTAACCTAGGAAAGCATGACAAGTTAGATGACCTAATGCAAGAGATGAAAGAAAAGGGAATTAAGCATGACACATTCACGAACAACATTCGGCTGAATGCTTATGCATCCTCTTCTGATATTGAGGGGATGGAGAAATTCCTGACCAAGATGGAAAATGATGTTGAAATCTCTTTTGATTGGCATGCTTATGTTGTCGCAGCAAATGCATACTTGAAAGCCAGGTTAACCGAAAAGGCTTCACAAATGTTGAATAGAGCAGAGCAACTAGTCACTCCAGAAACAAGAAGGAATGCTTATGAAGTGTTCCTCACAATATATACCAATCTAGGAAGAAAAGATGATGTTTATCGTATATGGATATTGTATGGAAACTTAGGGAAATTGCGTAACTCTGGCTATTTGTGTATGATAAGCTCATTGGTAAAGTTAGATGATTTGGATGGTGCTGAGAAGATTTTGGTAGAGTGGGAATCTGGATATACGGTTTTTGATTCTCGGATTCCAAATGTGATGATCGCTGCTTACTGCAAAAGGGGTTTTATTGAAAAGGCTGAAGCATATATAAGCAATCTGATAGAAAGGAGTGTCATCAAAGAGCCTGATGCATTTATATTGAATAGTCTTGCTACTGGATATCAAATAGATGGCCAGATGGCAAAGGCAGTGGAAACCATGAAGAAGGCAATCTTGGCTAGCATCTCTGGATGGAAACCCAACATTGTTACTTTGGCTGCTTGTCTTCGATTTTTGAAAGGAGAGAATAACATAGAAGTAGCTGAAGAGCTATTGCAATTGCTTAGAGTCAGAGGTTATTTCTCAATTGATGTTTATGATAAATTAGTAATGAACATTAGGGACAGAAACCTTGATGAAAGTGTCCTTGACCAGATAAAGGGAGACGAGGAGACAGGGAGACTCTTCGTTGAAGAAAGTGCAAGTAGTCATGGAGGTCAAATTGAGGGTAGCAGCTGACCAATATGTCTAGTTGAACTGCCAAAATGATGATGCAATCATTCTCCTGCATCAATTATTTGTTATACATTTTGTTGGATAATCAGACTCTGTATTTTGATTATGCATCCAATCGCAATTTCTGGTAGTTTGGGTAGGTTGCCTAAATTCAACAATTTTACAGATATTATTTAAAAACGGTAGTGATTTTCGGGAATATTTTTTTTGGCATTTGAGGTTGCTTGTTATTGATCCCTGTTATTGGAACTAAGAATCCTATACTCTACTAACAGCCCATACAACTGTTGGCGTGATTTTCAAGACTTTACCTTATCGGTTGGTAACCCGAGTTGTTTTATGAAAGGTGTCTGATGTCAACTTGGCTCATAGGACTCTGCTGCACCGTGAGACCAGCTCCTAGCCTGGTAGTAAGTCGGGGGTGCTACACCTGCTTGACCTAGGTTCCATCTTGTTCAGCTCCACATTTCCTTCAAAACTTAAGGAGCCAGTAGACACTGCCTTATAATGTAATGTTAAATTTATACGTACAGCTGAGAAAATATGACAAGTTAGGCCCTTTACTGCAAGAGGTGCAAGAAAAGGGCATTGAGTGTGATGCAATCACATACAACACTCGATTGAATGCTTATGGTGGTGCTTTTGATATTGAGGGAATGGAGAAATCATGATGAACATGGAAGATGATCCTCGCGTCTCTCCTGATTGGCGGCAGCCAATGGGTACTCAAAAGCTAGCCTACCTGAAAATGCTGCAAAAATGTTGAAGAGAGTGGAGCAAGGAATCACCGGTAAGACAAAAAGCAAGCTTATGAAATTTTCCTCGTATTTTATGCCAAAATTGGGAGCAAAGAAGATGTATACCGAATATGCATGTTCCACGCTCTAAACTATGTCTTGATGATAAGCTTGCTGGTGAAATTGGATGACCATGATGGTGCAGAGAAGCTCGCTGAGGAGCGGGAATCTCAACGTACAGATGCTGGGGTTCCAAGACTGGTGATCAGTGGTTATTGCAAAAAGGGGCTCTAGGAAAAGCTGAACCTTATGTAAACAGGCTTATGGAAAAGTGGGAAGATGCTTGATGCACTTATACGGAGTAGTTTGGCAACTACATGTCAAAAGGTTGATCAGGAGAAGGCAGTGGAAAACATGAAAAAACAATGTTTGCCGGCCCACAAGGATGGCAAACCAACCCTAATATTTTAGCCGCATGTTTTGATTATTTGAAAAGATAGGGAGGCATATAAGTTGCAGAAGAGATCGTAAAGCCGCTTAGAACTAAAGTTCATTTCTGAACAGCTATTTGTGATAGATCATCGAATGATGTAAGAGAGAAAGGCTTAGCTGCTAACGACTCATGAGAATCTTGATGATGAAGTATAAAGGGCTCACGGAGTCCAAATATGACGGTAACAGCTCGAGTCTTTTCGGCGTCTTAGCTAGCTAGGAGATGTCCAGCTGAACTGCGAAAGAGTGATTTTAGTTTTCTTTATCGAATCTAAAGCTTACTTCCTTTCATTTAGTGTTATTAATTGGGTATAAGAACAGTCCACGATCAATCATTTCTGCAATGCAAGTAGGATCGCCAATAAAATCACATCGCCATTCTTTATCTAATGCTGTTTAAATCGCAAACACAAGCTAACTAACTACAAAATGTGTTTCTTTCTAAACTGAGTACTGCTAAAATTCTCATCTACTGCGTGATACTTGAAATAGGTTGTGGTAAAACACAGTTGTTATGGTTCTGACATTTAAAGATAAAATTGATAATCAAATTAAAGCAAACTCATCCTGATAAGGGTTTGGTAAGGCATGACTTGAGCAAACTTTATATCCTAATTTATCATTTTGTTCGAGTCCAAATCAATTAGATTCGATTTAATTTCAAGTCTCAAAAGACCATCTATATATTTTAAATTTTTATTTTATATTTATTATTATTTTTGTTTTATATTGATCTTTATCTTCACATTTATTTATATTTTTATATTTATCTTTTATATTTATTATTTATTATTTTATTTTTATTTTATTACTTTATTATTATCTTTATTTACCTTTATCTTTATTTTATTTATTTATCTTGATTTTACCTTTATTTTTATTCTTTTTGGTGTTGTGATTTATTTGTTTCATTGTTACTGTTATCTTTTTCATAAAAAATGAAAAAAATCCCAAAAATGAAAATTTGAAAATCTAGATTGTCTCATCCAAAACAGTTTAAGGATTAGGATTGCTTTGGTGATAATTCTTAACTTTAAAAAAAAAAAATTCAATCCTAATTGAGTTAAAATTCCTATGAGCTTCGTCTATAAATACTGGGCAAATTGTTCATTACAGGACACAGAAAAAAAAAAAAAAGAGGAACAAGGTAAAAATTAAAGAGCATAGCCATTGCAATTTTCAGCCAAAGAAATTAAGCAATGAAGATTTCTAGTTTTTTGGGAGTTGAATGATATGAATTTTGGAGTTTGGGTTAGGGAAAAGTAAGAGCAAATTGAATTATTTGATTTTAGAAATTTTTTTGGAAATTTTGGAAAATTTTCAAATTGCGCTTGCGTTCTTGGCGTAACTTTTAGATTTTGACCAGATTTCATGGAAATTTTCCAATTCTAATGAAACGCCTAGTTCTTGGTTAATGTCACAACAAGATTCGTAGATCTCAAAAAACTTTCCTATGAGATTTCTCAGATTTTGATAAAAATTTTCAGATCCTAATGAAAATCCTAAAATCTAACAAACTTCTTGTGAACATTAAAGATTTCAATGATTGAAATTTGGAAAAAGAAGAGAGAGGAAAGACGTTTCTGGAAGAGATAAAAAGAAGAGAAAGATGGAAAAAAATATAAAAAATAAAAAGAAGCTTGGTTTTATAAAGGTAATAAACGACATCGTTTTGGAGTTCAAAAATTTTAAAGGATCCATGTGTTTTACCAATGGGACGACCCGATCCATACCACACAACTCGACAACCTACAAACACATTTTACTCGTTAAAATTACAAATACATTTTAAGGCTTAGATAATACGAAATTAATTGGTACGATTCTTTTAATGGACATAATAAGGACAATATAACCTTCTTCATGCGTGAAGTATTTTCAAACCTAGTTATAGTTTTGTAAATTTAAATTTACCTTTTCAAAGATAAGGAGTCAAGCTTGAAACTTTTTTTTTAAAACAGGCAAATTTAGTTAGGTGACTAATCGTACATAAAAAAAAATGATAGCAACTCCTAAAGTTGTATCTAACGATAGGTTCACAAACCTAAACTTTATGATAGTTTGGTGACTCTAAGGATATATTAGTCTTATTTTGGGTAGAGAGAAATTAAATCCAATTTAAGTCTTTGATAATTCGAAAGAGCCAAAAAATTTGAAGTTCATTTGAAGCAATAGAAGATTCAAGTTCCCAAAAGAAGATGGATCTCATAAAGAAAAACTTCAAGCTGTTGAAAGAAAATTTTTTTATGGATGTATAGATATAGCAAAACTTTGTTTAGTGCCATATATGGTTTTTACACTTAAGTTTAAGTCTAAAAATTTGAGAAGTAGGATGAAACTAAATATCTATATCTTTGTGTAATTCTTCTTTCACAAAAAATGCATATAAAGCAGCAACTAAAAATATCTTATTTTATTAAGGATCCAAATCAATTGGGCTTAGTCTACTTTCAAGCCTCAAATGACTGATTTATATATTTTATATTTTATATCTTATATTTCATTTATTTATTTATTATTTTTGTTTTATATTTGTCTTTATCTTCACATTTATTTATATTTTTATCTTTATCTTTATTTTTTATTTACTATTATTTTTTTATTATTTTATTTTTATCTTTATTTTATTTATTTATATTGATTTTACCTTTCTTCTTATCTTTTTTAGTGGAATAATTTATTTATTTCATTATTACTGTTTATCCTTTTTTATAAATAAATAAAAAATATGGAAAGTTTGAAAATCTAGCTAGACTACCTCATTCGAAAATAGTTTGGGGATTGAGATTGCTTTAGTGATAATTCTTAACTTAAAAAAAAATCCAATCCTAATTAAGTTGAAATTCCTATGAGCATATCCTATAAATATTGGGTTAATTGTTCATGACAAGACATAAAAAAAAAAAAAAAAAACTGAGGTGGAATTTGGTAGAAATCAGATAGCATAGGTTCTAAAACTTTCAACAAAAGAAATTAGGCAATGAAGATTTTTAGGCTTTTGGGAGTTAAAAGATTTGAATTGTAGAGTTTGGATTAGGGAAAAGTAGGAACGAATTGAATTGTTTTTTTTTTTTTTTGAAAAATCTAGAAAATTTATATATTTTGTTAAAGTTCTTGACGTAAATTTCATACTCCAACAAGATTTCGATGAAATTTTCCAATTTTTAGCGAAATCCCTATTTCTTAATGAATATCTCGGTGAGATTCCCAAATCCTAACGAAATTTCCCAGATTCTGACAAAATCCCATAATCCAACAAATTTGTAGGGAAAGCTTGAATATTTTGGTGATTAAAATCTGAAAAAGAAAGAGAGAGAGAGAGAGAGAGAGAGAGAGAGAAAGGCTTTTGAAAGAGAAAGAAGGAGAAAAAAAAAGAAAAAAAAGCTTGGTTTTTATAAAGGGAAGAAAATGATGTTGTTTTGGAGTTAAGAAATTTAAAAAGATCCACATGTTTTACTGTTGGCCCAACCTAACCTGTACCGCATGACCTTAAAACCTACAATCCTGTTAAACCACGATCCAAGCCTCTTGGCAAGCCTTCAGCCATGTTCTATTTCTACAATCGAGCCATCACCAACTTATCATCATTTTTTTGGTAATTTTTTTAAATTTTTATTTAATTTATTTGATTTAAATTTTATCTTAATTAATTTTTCTCAAAAATATCTTTAAAATAAATTCATGAGTCCTAACAAACTATTGAAAGATTTTTATAGATTTGGCTTCACTTGTTTTGCGAAAATGACATTTGAAAAAAGATTTATGGAAAATGTTTACATTTTTTCAATTAAAAGAGATTTTCTATTATTTGGATAAGTTAATGAAAAATAATTTTTATTGTTTGGTTGTTTTCTAAAAATTTAGTTTTTTTTCAAATAATATTAATATAACTATTGAAATATTAAAGAATATTTTTATTAATATTTGAATTATTGTATTATTATATTTTATATTAAAAAATAATATATTTTATAATATTGTAATACTAAAGTATTATGTTAATGATAAAAAATTTTTAAAGAAAATTATTTTATTATTTTTTACTATTTATTTAAGATATTATAATATTATTTATTGTAATAATAGTTTATTATATATTATAATATTTTTCTTAATCAATTAGTATTTGTATAATATCTTATTAAGTATATTATTGTAATATTTATTAATTTTAATATAATGATATTTATTAATGTATGATTTATTGATATACTATTATTTATTTATTAATATAATATTTTTTATAAGTAAATTTGTACTCAAAAGCATTGATAAAT